ATGGAGGTGAAAACCACCACAAGATGTTTACCAAATGATTTGTAATGTAAAAATTACACTCACATGCAGAAAAAGGGTCATTCAAAATTAACAAAAGTTGGCTCCTGCATGGCCACACCTTTCTGCCTCTCTTCCTTTGCAGTCATGCATCTCCTATACTCTAAGAGTCCTAGAGAGACTTGCAACCAGGGAAGCAATGGGCAGGCAGTGGCAGCTCGTTTTGGGCTAACCCCCTGAACCTGTCTACAAGGCCACTTTTCTCTGACTTTCCAGTGAGCCAAAGCAGCTCCACCCAAGCTCTCTCCTGTTGCTTCTTCTTCTATTCTAAGGCCTTCCTTGTTTCACCGTCCCCAACTTTAATAAATGTATTAAAAAAAAAAACCAACAAAAGCCATCTGACATAATACCTTTTGGGGGTTAAGTTTACTATACACAAATACAAAAAGCAATTACAGTAATAAGATAAATCTAGAGGACAAAGTTACAAATATACCAAGTTATCGTTTCTTCCTTTCTCTTCCTATAACCCTCTTTCCCACCAGGATCAATCTTATCTCCAAACTGGCATTTCCAGCAAGCTGTATATATGATGTCTATCTGACCTACGACATACATCATCAGTCACCATCATTTTGCACATGGATTACCGTAAGGTCCCCAGGTTCAAACTCCTCCTATGGCACCCACTGCACTTTATTATTTATTTACATTTATTTTTTGTTGACAGTATTACAGATGTCTCCCATTTTCTCCCTTTTTGCCCCCCTCCATCTACCCCTCACCCCACCCCAGGCCTTCCCCATGCTATTGTCTGTGTCCATGGGTTATGCATATATGCATACATGTTCTTTGGCTAATCTCTTCCTGTCGCCTCTCACTCCACCCCCACTGAGATCTGTTATTCTGTCCCATGCATCTATTTTGTTCATCAGTTTATTTTGTTTATTAGATTCCACATATAAGTGAGATCATGTGGTATCTGTCTTTCTCTAACTGGCTTATTTTTTACTTAGTATAATAGTCTCCAGGTCTATCCATACTGTCCTAAAGGGTACGAGATCCTTCTTTGTTACAGTCGAATAGTATTCCATGGTGTAAATGTCCCACAGCTTTTTTATCCACTCTTCTACTGATGGGCACTTTGGCTGTTTCCAGATCTTAGGTATTGTAAATAATGCTGCCATGAACATACGGAGGACTCACTGCACTTTAAATAAAATCCAATTTCCTTAACTTGACCACTGAATCTCCAAACTCCTCACCTCTTCCTTTAAGAACCACACTCCCAGAGCATCGTCTAGATACGCCAGGGTTGTGGGTTTGATCTTCCCTCAGGGGACATACAAGAAGCAATCGATGAATGCATATATACGAGGAATAACAAATTGATGTTTCTCTCTCTCCCCTCCTTCCTCTCTCGATCTTTAAAAATAAAAACAAACCAAAAAAACACACCATACTCCCAACATACTGGCTGTCGTTCTCACCTCAGGACCTTTTTGTTGTTCTTGTTAATCCTGTGTTGAAAGAGAGGGGTGGGGTGGGGTGGGGGGGTGAAAGAGACGTATCTGATTGGTTGCCTCCTGCAGGCACCCCAATCTGAGCCTGGAATTGAACCTGCAACGCAGGTACATGCCCTTGACCAGAAATGGAACCTGTGACCCTTCCTTGAGCAGGCTGACACTCTAACCATGGAGCCACACCAGCCAGGGCTTATCTCTGGGCTTTGTGTAAGCTCTAACCTATGCTTGGAAGGCTCTTCCCCTCCTTAGCTTAGGTCTTTCCAAGGCTTGCTTTTCTTTTCTACCCTTAGGTAGTTTCATTCTTTCTCTGACCACAGTACCTCAGGTAAGTCCCTTCCATTATATTCTCTTGACCTAAGTTTATTTCCTTCATAGAACTTATTAACCTTGCATTTTATTTATTTTTCTACTTTTTATTGATTTTTTTAAACGTCCTTATTGTTTTCAGAGAGAGGAAGGAGAGAAACATCAATGATGAGTCATTGATTGGCTGCCTCGTGCACACCCCGTATTGGGGATGGAGCGGGCAACCCGGGCATGTGCTGTGACCAGGAACAGAAGCTCAATCTCCTAGATCCCAGCCAAGCCACGCCTGCCAGGCTACTTTTACTGATTTGGGGGGGGAGCAGCAGCATTGATTTGTCGTTCCACTGGGCTTATTGGGACAATGCTCTAACTAACTGAGCTACCCGGCCAGGCCCTTTTCTACTTTTTAGTCTGCCTCCAAATTCCACGATGGAGAAAGTATGTATATCACCCATTCTTCCCAGTACCTATCACTGTATAAAATTCTGTTGTAAATACTTGAATTGAAAATATAAAATTAAAAGTTAAGGAACAGCCCTGGCGAGTGTGGCTCAGTTGGTTGGAGTGTTGTCTTGTATATGGAAAGGTTGCAGATTCCCTAGTCAGGGTATGTTTGGAAGGAAACCAATTGATGTTCTCTCTCACACTGATGTTTCTCTAGCTCTTTCTCTCCCCCTTCCCCTCTCTTTAAAATCAATAAGCATATCTTCCAGTGAGGAATAAAAACATTAAGGAACATTCTAATAAAAAAATTAGACTAGAACAAAACAAGCATTGATTTTTAAATTCTGAGGAACTCATACAATATGACGTTCTGCTAACCAATAAACAAAAAATGAATTATTATCCAAGGGGCATGAAATTCTGGCTTTAAGAGCTCAGTTTTGATGCCTAGAAAGCTAAACCACTTAACTTATCCTGTTTAGGGCATGAAGAAGCATTACACTGATTTTTGCATCTGGCCAAGGTTTTACTAGCCTCTAGTTTTCTACAAAGGCTAATAACACATCAGACCAAATCCATACATTTCAGGTTTGGGAGAGGCACTCCAAAGACTCAGTATAACAAAGTATATCCAGGTCAAGATCTAATTCAACCTGCACTGAAAGGTCTATGAGATATCAGGGAAAATAAAAAGCTAAATTACAGCAACATGTCTAGGGTGGAGGGCATAGAAAAGAAACAAAGCTCAATGTGAGGGGCAGCGGAAGGCCCCTGTTATTTGTGAGAACAACAGGTGGGCTTTCAATAGGTGAGAAGTGGGCGCAGTTAACAAAGAGCCAACAACCTGAGCAGAGGTTCCCAAGGAATGAGTGAGAAGACTAATGGGGTTGCACCAAGTTAGGAGATGAGGTAAGCACAGACGTCAAAGATAAGATTTGGTATTTGGGAAGACACAGTATAAGGAAAATTTGGAATAGTTTTTTGTGAGTAGCAGGAAGCCACTGCCACACATTCCTTTTTCTCCCTCTAGAAGGGGATCAAGCCATTTTTATTTACTCATACTTTTGTATTATATAGTACCTGTCACCTTAATGTAAGCACAGTGCCTTGCACATAGCGTGGCTTAATAAATGTCTGAAGTTAATGATATAATTCACCTTCCCAAGTTAAGGAAGTCATTTACTAAAACATATTACAGATTCTCATTACAGTGGGTTCTAAGATTCTCTCCAACTCCTTATATTGGAATTATATTGTGCTCAAAGTTGAGTCCAATTACTAGCATCTTCGGGGACCTGGCAGTTTCACCAATCAGATTTTGATGTCTAGGTCTTTGTTATATAGTATTTGATTTATAATCACTTTCTCTCATTTTTTAAAGTCCATTTAGGTCAGCAGTTAATCTTATAGCCATTATACTGTCATGGCTTTGTTTCTTCTCTATCTCTATTCCACAGATGCAACACAGGCTAAGCATTCAGTGACTGCTCCTTAATTAATTATAATAACTTTTAACGTTTAAAGCTCATAGTAATACTTTGTAAGCAAAATCTATAAAATCAGAAACATATCATTCCCCCCAAATCTATTAGCACCCCTGTCCTTTTAAAATAGATGTTTAAGAAACAAATTGGGCAGTGATATACATTTTTAAAATTCTAGGCAATTTCTTCAACTCAAATTTGGCATATTTAAGTAGAAGAAACCTCTGATAAAATACTAAGGCAAATTAAAGCAAATAACCAAGTAAAAGAATGCATTTTATTTTCCAAGAGAGAACATTGGAAAAGGGGATGCTTGATGCTCAGTGTCACTTAGGGTTCTTGACTCTAAAATAAATATTAAGTCATTATTAGTCTTAATACAAAAAGTACACCTAAAATCAACTAGGATAGAAAAAAAGTGTCATTCAAAAATTTCCGTTAGTAAGTAAACATTCTAGTTTTACTTTTCTTTGTAATGTAACCAAACGAATTTCTAACCTACTAACGATCCAGCTTTAGGAAAAGCTATAAAATAAAATTTTTTTAAAAAGTCCTCACTGAAACCAATTGTGCCTTCTTTTAAATTTTTTGTATTTAATGTATGACATAAGAGCTGTACGGCTATTTCAAACTTGGCACCAAGGTATCAATATACAATTTTAATATTTCATACTTAAAAGGTTTTTGTTTCTAAATGTTAAAACATTTTATTCTGTCGACTGCTCTAAAGGCTGCTGGACAGGAGTTCTTAAAGTGGCTTTCAGAGATCTGCAGGTAGTCGAAGAACCTTGAATGGTGTGCAAACGTGTGTGTACGTGCATTTTGGGGGGCAGGGAGGACGCTACGGCTCTCTTCGTATTCTCAAAGAAGTCTATGGTCCAAAAAAGGTTAACAGCAACAAAACAACAAAACCCTGCTTTAGTATGATAACCAAATAGGGAACGTGACGAATGGCAAACAAAACAAAACAAAACAAAACACGTACAGTTTAATTTTTAACTAAGGAACCGCCATTAACATGTTTAAGACGCATCCTTTCATCCACAGTGACCCAGATCCTGACACTAGCCTTCCACTCGGAATGCCTTCTTGTTAATAATTTGGTTCAGAACAGGGAGAAATTAGTTCAATCACCCACGCGCACACATACTCTTGGATTGACCCCATGCACAACCCAGCCATTGTCGACCCTCCTCGGGGGTCGGGTGGGTTGCTCGCCCCGGGAGCGCGGGTGCTGGCGTACCTGGGCGCGGGCTCGATTAGGGTGGTGGTGTCCAGGTAGTGAATCTTGTAGAACTCCAGCAGGGCCGGCAAGTGGTCAAACTCCTGGTCCCCGATCTTAAAACGGCGGTTGGGCAGTGAGTTGATGATGTAGTGGGAGACCCGCGAGTTCTCGGACACGGACAGCACATAGTCCCCGGGGCAGGTGGAGGAGTCGCGGACTAGGAACATGCCGTGGCGCTGGCCCTGGAGCCGGGTCTGCGCCTCCTGACGAGACACTGGCCCCATGTACCAGGCGGAGCGGTCTGAGGAGTCGAACCTAGCGGAGGACATGGTGTCGGGCCGAGGCTCTGGGCTGGGTCGGGGCGGCGGCTGCTCTCGCCTGCTCTGGATGCCTTTGCCCGGCAGACGGCTTTGGGATCGAAGAAGGGCCTTTCGGCACACCGCGAGGCGCGCTTAGAGGGCCGAGCCAGCACCTTCCTCTCGGCTACGAGCCCGCAGCATCCTCCGCCTTCGCCCGCCTACTCCGGGGCCGCCTCAGGGAAGGAGCCGGCTTAGGTAGTGCGGAGCAGAGCCGGAGGTAGGGGCGGCGAAGCCGAGCCGCAGCGGAGGCCGCCCCGGGGTTCTTGGGCTGCCCCACGTACTGGGAGTGCCTCCCTCCAGTCACCACTGGCCTGAAACGCGCCGGCTCCGCGCCCCCACGGCTCTGCACCGACCCCAGCTGCCACACCAAGCACCGAACTCGAAGAAGCGTCGCGCCTCCAGGGTAGTTTTGCCTAGCCGGTTCCCAAGAGCCACAGCAACAAAATGGCGGACGCAGGAGAAGCCGCCAGCCACCTCCCCCTCCGCTCAGCGCGCTCTGTCGCGCACGCGCGGGCTCCGCTCCCAGTGGCTGCCGGGGCCCTCCCCGTGACGTCTCGCGGCGCAGCCAATCAGAAGCGTGATCCTGACTGTCCGGGTGTGCGCCACCCGCTCTTGCTCCCGCGTTCCGGGAGGAGTCGGTGGAGGCGGCAGCAGCGGGCACTCATTTCTTGGGCCGAGGCACGCCGCCGGGGGCGCTGCCGCTCCCGGGTCTCCGCGCACTGGCAGGAAAACAGCTGGAGCCAAGAGGGAGCGGCATTTCGAAACCTGCTCTGGGAACAAAGCGTAAAATGCAGGGCGAATCTTGGGCCAAGGAGGCGTGGCACTGAGGTGACCTGGCCGGCCGAGGGGACAGTTCCGGGTGGACTGAGGTGGCTCAGGAAGAAGATGACCGCGGGGGTTGAGGCGACCACCGTATAAAGACTAGGTGACCGTGGCCCGAGGTGTCCTGGTAGGCTGAGGGACCTGGAGTGGCCAGATGACCCGACAGGCAAAAGTAGGGAGTGTGAAGGTTGGATTGACCGGATTAAGTGGTCTAGGAAGTACAGCCTGAGGTAATGTGGTCATCACTGTCACTGAATTAATGCAAATAAAATACAGACACCTCTCGGGCGTGGCCTTAAGGCCTTGCCTGCTGGGGGTTCGGCTTGCTTCTCAGAGTTAGTCTTTCATTCCCCCCATGTTTACCCCTCTCCAGCTGCACCTTCCTAGCCTTTCTGCTTCCTACCTCCCAACTAGAATGTAAATTTCTAAAAAGTGGGGATCTTGTCTGTCTTGTTCACCTCTGGGCCTAGCACAATGCATGGCCCTGAATAGATGCTCAAATATTTGTTGAACAAATTACTATTGAGAAAAACCTCCAAGCTTCCCGATTATTGGTAGCACCACCCCAGGAACTGGACAGGCACATCCAAAAAGGGAGATGCAAGCAATGCAAGCTCATACTTAACTCCCTCTGTCAGTGGAATTTAATTTTGGCCCTTTGCACAGCCCTTACCCCCCAGGTTGAACATATTCTAGACTAGGGTGATAGGTGATGTCCATCCTAGGGTAAACTAAAGGGTCAATGCCTTGTATCTTTTGTGATTCAACATCATGTTTTCAACAATCCCCAAAATACTTTCATGCTGTATTATTCTCAGGTACAATTTGAGTAGCACAGAATTTGAAGCTAACTGCTTGGGTTCAAATCCTGGCTCAGTCAGTTGACTAGCTGAGTGACCTTGGGCCTGGGCCAGTTACTTAATCATTCCATCCATGTCTATGTATTATTAAACAAGCTAATACATGTAAAGTGCCTAGAATAGTGCCTTGCACATATTAAGCATCATATATATGTTTTTCCATTATTATTATTCAGCCTCTCTGGGCTTTTACCTCTATACTCTAAAAGTGTGTAGATCTTAAAATGGGTGGGTGAGAATGGGGAGAAAAATCTCCATTTGATTTTCTAGCTGCTTTTCACTGCCAGATTTTCTCACGTCATCACCCATTCCTTGCTGAGCCTTCTTGGTTTGGCTTCTACTCTTTGCCTGAAACCGGTCTTTGGAGATCATCATGAGACAGGCCAGTAAGCCAGGGCAAGTGAAATAGGGAAACTAGATAGATAGCTAAAGAAAATGACAGAGCAATTTACAGCAGATACAGAAGGTCACCTCCCTAGAAATAACATCTAGGCCTCAGTTGTATTTCAGCTCCAGACCCAGAAAAGCAGCAAAACCAGGTGGGTGACACCAGGACCAGCTGCAATGATGACCCCCTGCCCTGACACTGACTAATTGGTGGAGACCATGGCGCTGGAGGAGCACACTTAGAAAACTGATAAATGTTCTGCCAGAACCCTTGTCTGACACCTCCCCTAAGATTCTTGCCTGTGAGAAAGAGATAAAGCCTCAAGACAAAGGACCCAGGGGGTGCTCTCCCTCTGAGGAGCAGCCCCTGTCATTCCCTTTCCCCTCTTCTTCTCCCACAGGCATGCATCTCCTAAACCCTAAAGGACCCCACAAGGCTTGCAACCAGGGGAAAATGGGCAGCAGCAGCTTGTCCCAGGCTAACCCCTGAACCTGATCCCAAGGTCCCCTTTTCTCTGACTTCCCAGAGAGCTAGGACAGCCCTGCCTAGGCTCTCCTGTTGCTGCTTCTATGCTAAGTCCTTTCTTTTACATTCCCCAGCTTTTTTTTTTTTTTAAATACATCTTTATTGATTTCAGAGAGAGAGAGAAAAACATCAGTGATGGGAGAGTCATTGATCAGCTGCCTCCTGCACGCCTCCTACTGGGGATCGAGCCCGAAACCTGGGCATGTGCCATGACTGGGAATCAAACCAAGATTTCCTGGATCATAGGTCGATGCTCAACCATTTAGCCACACAGGCTGGGCTACATCCCCAGCTTTAAAAAATGTTCCCTCATAGTTATCTAGACTTGCATTGTGAAATTATTCCTGCAGAAAGTCAGGAACCCACTCACTACTGGCTGGCCCTACACAGACCTACCAAGAGCCAGGTCTCCTGTCCAGTAACAAGCATTGATCTCCATTGAGTCCATCATTTTCCTTGATCTACCTGACTTTATATGTTTATAGTGAAAATCTCTGGAAAGATTCCTCCCCCTACCTTCTGGGACACTCACAATTTCTTCCATTTCTCCAAATGTACTTTCTCAGTCTTTTTCTGTGGCAGTTTTTTCTTCAGCCTCTATATGTAGAAGCTCAGTCCATAACCTGGCTATAGCTTCTCCTTTGGTAGGCCATCATGAAGGTTTTAGGGGTCACCTCTCTGTCAGTGATTACAAAACACTTACATTCTAAAAGTAGAACAGCCCGGCCAGGCGTGGCTCAGCGGTTGAGCGTCGACCTAGAATCCAGGCAATCAGGGTTTGATTCCCTGTCAGAGCACATGCCCAGACATGTGCAGACTCAATCAATGACTCTCTCATCATTGATGTTTCTGTCTCTCTCTCTCCCTCTCCTTTCCTCTCTCTGAAATCAGTAAAATTATATTTAAAAAAAAAAAAGTAGAACAAAAACTGTCCACACCCTATGCAAACACTGTAGTCATAGCCCAAATTAATTCTTATTCTGTTCTATTGTAATTGTGTCTATCCTTCCTAATCTGAGCATCTTGGAGGCAGATGTGTTATTTTGTATTCCCAGTGCCCAGCACATAATACATACTTAATAAGTGGTTTTTGAATGTAGGTGGATAAAGATGGGATGAAGCCAGAGAAAACTGAAAATTTATTTTAGTGAAGGTAAGGAGATTGTGCAATTGTTTCCAGTTGTCAACATAATAAATGTATTTAAAATAGATATTTGGGGTGGCTGTCTCTATGTACCTTTCCCCGCCCTCTCCCTCTAGACCTGTTTTCCTTGCTTCTCTCTCCTAAGCTCCAAGGGCCCTTCTTTTGCTTCTGCAACTTGTTTCCTGAGCCCATTTCTTCTACAGCTCACTGCTTCTACCTCTGTGACTTTCTAAGTAATCTTTCTCATAAAAATAAATAGGTATTTGGACCCAAGGTTTAGCCCCATATCTCCCTTTCTGTTTATTCTTCCATTTGGATTAAACTTTGCCTTTCAGCTTCCTCTTTTCTGTCAATAGCATCACTGTTTTCCTGATTTGCAGACTCAAATCTGAATCACCTTTTACTTAACTGAAGAAGTCAATAATATTTAATTTATATAGTATATTTCAATTCACAACACTTCAAATAATACATTGTTTTACTTAATCCAGCCAAAATCCCATGAAGTACCTTCTTATAGATGATCCAGAAGCTCAGAGGGGTTAAGTGTCTTGCTTACATAAATTGTAAGTCATAGAATTTGCAAGAGGCAGAGCTGGCACTATTAAGCCAGGTCTTTTGACTTGAAGTCAAGCTCTCATTTCATTGTTCCACAGCTGCCTATAATTTAGTCCATATTGTGTGTTTTGCTGATAGGGAAACAGAGGCCCTCCAAAGTAAATTCTAGCACCAGGAAGGGATTCAGTTTTGAAATAGGGGTTGGATTTGTACCCCAGCTTGGATTTCAGATAGCACGATCATTCTGCCAAAGTGCCATGCTCTCCTCTTTTAAAATTCCTCTTAAAGATGGATCAGAATACCTCTCCTTTTGCTTCAGAATAGTCCAGTGGGAAATGTGGTGTGGATTGGATAAAGGTGAAACAAGAATGGCCTTGTGTTGATAATCGTCAAAGCTGGGTGGCATGGTGTGTGTGCGCGCGCGCGCGCGTGTGTGTGTGTGTTTGAGGTAGGGGGCATTATTCTACTTTAGTATATGTTTGGAATTTTTCACAAATATTTTTTAAAAGTACTTCCCTTTATTCCTTATACACAGCTGAGGCAAGCTTTAAGATATTTCTAGATTCTAAGAGATAAAATGGAAATGAATGGAGAAACAACAAAGGAGCATTAAAAAGGGGGGGCTGTAACATAAAGATATGATTTTGCCTTAGTTTGCTCATTCCCAGGATTTCCAGATGGCATTATACTTATACTTACTTTCTAAGATATTTACAATCTAGATTCAAAGGACTGACAAAGCTTTTAGAGCAAGTTGTCTGGATTTCTTCTAGCCCTGAGGCTGCCTCTGTACAGAGGTTACAACCTTGTGACCCACTATTGACTTTTGTTCTATCTGGGCAAGTGCAACCCTTTGGGTGATGGTTAAGGCCTTGTAGTCATCTGCCCTTGATTCTTTTCTAGCAACGATGCTGAGAGTAGAAGAGGCATGACCATGTAGATGTGGAAGTATGTGATATATTTATTTCACTGACTTGATAAGGTCAGCCATTCTCAGATGTTCTCTCTGTAAGAATTGGTTGACCTGTTTAGTGTCTACTGCATCTATTAACCTAATTCTTTGAGACCTTTCCCTGCTAAGCAATACATTTTCTTTCTCATTTGTCAGTTCTTCTCAGTTACTATTCCCCCATGTTTTATATATAGCCCCCTTTTTTTGGCTTTAAACAACTAAATTTTAGTTTTTAA